AAACACTTAAAAGTAAGTCAACTGTATTAAAAGATACAAAAAGTCTTTTGTTTGCAATCGATTCCCACAAATTCCTTCAATAATCTACAGAAGGGAGTGGAGATGGTAAAATTCCCAAACCTTTGCCCATAGAAAGCAGTGACAGTGGTTAAATAACTTCAACATACTAGCATTTTGCAGTGCAGGAACATAACATCGTTTTTCAATGCAGGGGAGGGGAGCCAAAAAATAATTGAGAAGCAAAACAAAAAAGTTCCTGAATGAAACAAGCAAAGATGCGCAAGATTTCAACGGAAAACTTTAATAAGCCAGAAAACAAACATAAAACAAGCATATAAAACAAACAAACTAAAAACCTCTTAAACACGCACATGAACCCCTAAACTGCCCACAGTCTAAAAACCTATGGTCGGTTCCTCTCTCTTTACAAAATGTGGGGAGAGGGGACCTCAGGCATTTAAATTTCCATTCCACATTAAAACGTTTTGGGAAGGGAGGACTATCCTTTTGTGTTTGATGCTACGCTGCATTCCTTTTCCGTAGTTATGCTCAGCATTTCAACAGTTTCCTAATTTCAATTCTGACATTTATTTTTTTTACATTTCCGGATTTTTTTTTTTCTTGGGGCGTAGTTTACGGCAATTTAATATTGAACAACCAGCTGCAGGTAAATCGAAATAGAATTTTAACAGGATATAAATAGAACGATATAAATGTAAATTATGCTTGCAGATAATGATTACATTACACTTACATGTACCTCGGCCGGCGTGAAATCGACATCATTTTTTTCAAAGCTTTTCAAAATGTTATATTTGGAATTCAAACATCTATTTCTTTTAGGATTTTAATCAGGAAAGTCTTTAGTACCGTTTTATGGCTGATAAAGTATTATTTATAAATCTCCGAAATAAAACTAAAACATGTAGGAAATGAAAGGTATACTATTTTTAAAAACTCCGGAATGAAATACAGCTAGATATAAAGTACCTACAGTGATTTTTATTAAGCATGCGCCATTTCTAAGCATACAATCAAAGGAACCTATCTCTGTAAGAAATTTTATTGTAAAGTCTTTTTCCCCCACTGTTATGCCTCATATACAACATGACAATTTTTTTTGGATCCGAGCATGGAACATTGGAGGATGCGTAGATATTTCAAATCCAAGACATACATTTATCCAACAATATCTTTTGCTTGCCGGAAAATATTATTGAAATATGTGACAAAATCACTAGAAGCGGTTCAGAATTTTAAATAAAAATGAAATTAAAAAGTTTGAAAGTAAAATAAATAGGTTAAAGCTAATTTGATAGTGGTAAGCATTAATTCCACATCTTAAAAGATTGATCCTGGTTTTTTTACCTCACTATTTTGAATATTTGCTTTACTTTGTTGTTTACAAAGTCGTCAAAAAATTCTACGAGATAGAAATCATGACCACAATATAAAAATTCGTGGCCTCGAAACAAAATTCATGAACACTTTTTGGCTACTTCATGGACGTACGCCGAAACTCAGTCTGTCAAACTTTGTATACTGCCGCTTGAGGGCCTTATCAAAAAAAAAAAAATATTTATTTGTTCGCACGAATTAACTAGAAATTCGTTCGGACAAATTAGATATTCGTTCGGACAAATTAGTTATTTGTTCGGACAAATTAATTATTTGTTCGGACGAATTAGAAATTTGCACAGATTATCTTGTCTTGAGATATCTATTACCTCCTTTATACAAGAGGATTCATCCCCTCACTGATATATATTAAAGGTAGGGTTAAATCTATTTTTTAGATTTAATGCATAAATGGCTGTTTGGACCAAGGACATACACACGTTGTAATAAGACTATTGATATTAAAGTCGGATAAGTCGATAGCAAATATCCGAAAATGCTGGTACAATATATATGAATTATCTATTAGACAAAGTCTGCTTTTCAGAAGGTACGTTATTCCGAAAGCCCAATAATCCACAGGGTCCCCTACTCCAAAATTTGCAGGGTAAATCAAATACATAGTGATTATCTAATTTATTAAACATGTTTGTAGAGGAAGTTTTCGTGCTCCTCAATATCTATGAGAGAAAAGAGGGTTACCCGACTCCAAATACCTGACACACTCATAAGCTTTGTCATAAATTAACATCATAAGTTTCTACCAGACCACCTTTTGCTGGTGGTGCCAAAATGATATCGCTTGGGTACCAGTGGTCAGTAATCACTTCTATGGAAAAAAAAATTCGAAATCCATCCCTCAAGTTTTTATGCCTACTGTATTATATTAAATAAACATCGGGCTCGGAACATCGAGCCTCTTGTCCCAAGGGTGTATAACTTTCAAGGGGGTATTACTAGCACAAAATATGAAGTTTTGTTATATGTAGATGTAATCGCTTGACACTATTTTCGCGGTTGTGCCACGATATATTATTCAATCACTTTTCGATGTTGTTTCATTCCACCTTTTCTTCATTTCAGCGCATTTTTTTTTCTTAATTAGTGAGTTTAATATGAGAATCAATACAAACATTTTCATTTTTGTAAAGTTTTCTAAATACACACTAAGGAATATTTAGAACTCAAATAAGGACATTTTTTCCGAACGAATTTCTAATTTGTCCAAACAAATACTTAATTCGTCCGAACAAATATTTCTAATTTGTCCGAACAAATATCCAATTTGTCCGAACGAATTTCTTATCGGTCCGAACAAAATATCCAATTCGTCCGAATAAATAAACATTTTTTTATCTTGCCCTTCAGCAGCAGCGTAGTATACGATAAGTTAAAAATGCATATTATACTTGTACGTATATCGCTTGATTTTGCCTGCTTGCACATATGCATGTTTATGAACAATATATTTCAATCACATAATTAAAAAAAAAAAAAAAAATTAGCCACCTATAGTTAAAAAGAAAACATTGTGCATAATTGAGATTCGTATAGATGCACTCAAGTAAGAAAAAACAGAGTTTAAATCTAATGATCGTAAAATATTAACTACTAACAATATACATGTACTTATTTTAAAAATAGATGCCGAGTATTGTGACAGGAAAGGCATAAAATAGAATATATGTTATTGCACAAATAAAACGAAATAAAATATTCATTTTGAAATATAACCTTTTTTCCTCCTCCCAAATTTTATGAAGGTTAAGATTTTCTAAAATTTGATCAATCATATGATATTTCAAAAATTAGAAAAATGCTAAACTTCATCGAAATGAATTTAACCATGTTGAGCAGAATATGCATGACACACACGTAATATGCATAGGAATCGTACTGATATGTATGAAAGGTACATAACAAATATCAAGCGGCCGCATATTTAAAATAAAATTTGGCATGTTTACACAAAGAATTAATTTTAATTTTATCTAGCAAGACCTAAAATCAGACATAGAGATTCTATGACGTCACAAATGACGTACAGTGTATTACGAGTAATATAACATCATGTACAAGGAACTGAAACCCCCCCTTTTTTATTTCAAAGATTCAATTCATAAACACTTGTTTTTTTGTTTTTTTTTTTGTAATATCCAAGAGTTTACCTCCACGATATAATCATAACACAAGGTATCTTACACCAAATGACATAGAGAATAACCCTCCCGAGACTCGCAGTAATTTTTTCTTTTTAAGGGAAAATAGAGTCGTAGTGAAAAAGAGTCAGCGACCATTTTCTTCTACAATTTATATTTCAAAAACCATAAATGGGGCATATTTTTTCTGTATAGACTGTGTCAAAAGATACCCACCGACTAGAAAAAATCGGTTTACACCACAATATGTCATGTGTTAGTCTCGGACATGAAGGAAGCAGAAAACTTGTAATTACTGTGTTGAAAATCAATCTTAGTGTTCAAAAATTAGATAAAATGTTCTTACAGTTTCATTGCTATAAATAACCTATATGTACATTATTTTCTGCTGTAATCTACATCTTCAGAAAAAGTGTTAACTTTTAGATTGGCATAACGATTCTTTTTTGGTTCATGCATGCATTTGTGTCATGCTGACGTACATGTATGTAAACATGAATAAAAACACAACACATTTAATAAAATAAAAAAAAAATATGTTCAGTCTAAATCAAATTTGAATCACAAATATTTATAAGTCGTTTAGTGCAGGTGCCCGTCGATTGTACTTAACTTGCGCAAACTTTACGTAAATTCCGCACAGTTTACGGGAGCTTCGTGAATAAGCCGTAAACCACCCGTAATCTTTCCGCAAACTTTGCGCAATCCTTCCGTAAACTCACCGCAACTGCGGAATTTACGGAGACTTTGTGAATAAGGTCCCTGGTATTAAATTAGTTTTTAATCCTTTTTTCTATTCCTAATGATTAAATATGTCTTTCCACCACAACAATCATTGATATTCTTAGTATTTGAATTTTCATTTTCAAAAATTTGCTTGTCCTCCTAGACCTCAATGCAATCTTCATTGATTAAATACTGCTTAGTAATAATTCTTTGAAAGATTACATTGGAAAATCCTAGTGTTTTACTCGAAAATGAAATTAATATCAGGGTATTTTATACATGATTGATATTTAAGGTTACAAATTTAGGTCCTAATATGGGTTGGATACTATAGATCACTAAATTTTATCGTCGACATATTATTTAAGCGAGATTGTTGTTAGGCATTTACAAGCGAAGCAAAATTTTCACGAATTTCGGTTATTGTTCTATACAACCTTTAATAGTAGAATTATACGCGAGAATTACATTTTCGCGAGCAGATAATCTCGCCCAATTACGTGAAAATAAAATTCTCGTGAGTAAAAATGATTTACAGTACCTTAAATTCAGCGTAATATTGACATCCGTACAACATATTTTGTGTCTATTTTCATTTTAGATTTACTAGCCCTAGAGGCTTTTTGCTGGTCTGACTTCTAAAATTGGTAGATCGGGGTGCCGAGTATTTGCACATCTCTTGAATAAATAAAAAAAAAGGGAAACTGGTAGACTCACCCTCCTACTACAGACACATTTTGAGTTGGTACATATACGGAAGTTTGCTCAGAGGGTGTTGTAGTTGGAATTTGCATTGTTGATTTCTTTGTTAGCTCATAGCAATCAGGATCTGCAATGAAATTAAATTCTTCTTTATTACTTGATCATATCTTATAATAATAATGCTGACTTGTATTTTTAAATTACCAATATTAAGAACTTTTTTTTAATCTTTTCAGGAACAAAATGTATTTGATATTGAGTACACAATGTACTTATAGGTAAAACGTACAGAGGATGGTTATGACCATTTGTGTATGGATACTTGTAACTGAAGTATATAAAACTGTTCCATCTTCACGTCATTAAAAAACAAGAGGCGCCTGGGTCATAATGCACAAATAAGACGCCTTTACGTACTTTTTTTTTTTATTATGCCTTCATATTGTGGACCAACCCTAGCCAAGGAGAATCATCAAGAAATCAACTTGAATACACACATCCCGGGTATGCTTAAATATCAATCTGACTAACATGGCCTGATGTTTTTCTTTCGGTATACATGCTTCAGGTAAAACTTGTTCCGAATTTTAGAGGCACTCCTATCTCAGGATCCATAATTTGAAAGAAAAAAAATCCTTAAATCAAGACAATTTTGGAATTTTTGAACATACTAAACACAATTGCCTCTGCTATTCTTAAAAGATTTATCTAATAAATTTTATATGAGGGGTTGTGAATCGGACACTTGGCCTCTGAACATACTGTTGTGCCATAAAAGATTTTTACAGGACACACATTCGAAGTTACTATTATCTTAAATTTTTGGTAAAGTATCATGACTTCCGTGTTACTAGAGCATTTAAGACTTTTATATAATAAAAGCATATTTAGAACTCCTTTTTCTGAAAAAATACTTCAACTACAAATTTTAGGACGCGTTTGCTTGACACACATCCTTGCTCTTTCACGAAGTAAAATTTATTCTGAATGTTTAAGAAAAGTGGAAAATCTGGTGTTGATTAATGAAAAATATTAAAACTTCAATCCAGAGAATCCAAAGAAGAAATGTGACAAAGCAAATTCAACACACCAGGCCAATGAAGTCAGTTAGTGTTTAGTGATGTGTACAGAGTTAACAAATTGAACACACCTGGTAAAACTTAAACATTAAAAAAACATAGCTCTTGTCCATGTTTACAAATATAGGTATTTGACGTAATGTTATGGAGAATGTTGTCACTGAATTTTAAGAATTTTCATGCAAGTTCAATTCATTAAACAAAAGTTCTCTTTGAATGAAAATAGAAATTTAAAATGGTAAACAAACAGCAATCAAGTGTATCAAGGCCTCTTTAATACATAATCCCATGACAAAAAATTGATGTCTCCTATTGTGGCCCCACCCAATCCCCTTTGGTCACAATTTTAACGAAATTTAATTTGCATTGCCAGAGGATGTTTGTATATTACTAATATACATACATACATACATACATACATATATATATATATATATATATATATATATATATATATATATATATATATATATATATATATATATATATATATATATATATATATATATAAAATATATATATATATATATATATATATATATATATATATATATATATATATATATATATATATATATATATATATATGTATGATGTTATAAAAAAAAATTATCGACGCTTTGATTTGAAAACTTTTACATAAGTTCCTTCTTTTCAGGCCCCTTGTTTCTTGCGGTTTTTAAATGACCCCACAAAATTTTCGTTATTTTTTAATTATCTATTGAAAATTGGCATGGTCATTCATTTGGACAAATTTGAATCCTTTCTCCCAAAGACGCTTTGTTTCAATATTAATTGATTGACTGATTGATTGTTGTTTAGCGCTGAGTCGGCAATATTTCAGCCATATTTCAGCAGTTTCAAGATTAATTTGGCAAAGTGGTTTCGGAAAAGAAATCAAAAATCTACACATCTGTTTCATATTTGGATATTTTACTTGAAAAAGACGTAAATGGTAATCTAACAACTAAGCTTTATGATAAACGTGATGCCTTTAACTTTTCAATCGTCAGCTTTCCATACTTATGCAGCAATATACCTTCATCACCTGCAAACGGGGTTTATATCTCTCAGTTTATTCGATACGCAAGACGGCAAGAGCATGCTCTACGTATGTACAATTTCTAAACCGAGGTAAATTTTTGACAAACAAGTTGATGAAACAAGAATATCAGCAGTCTCGTTTAAAGTCATCATTTCGTAAGTTCTATTGTCGATACAATGACCTTGTCAGCAAATACAAATTATCATTGAGTCAAATGCTGACTGACGTTTTTCATACAAATTGTTGGGCCATTATTTACACACTGAATTGTCGACGGATTTTTTTCGGATCATGACAAGGAGCACACGGCGAGTGTGACTGGTCGGCAGGGGATGCTCACTCCTCCATGGCACCTGATCCCACCTCTGATGTTTTGGATGTCCGTGTTTGCTCTGCTCCTATTTTGTAATGTTTAATAGACTTTTGAGCTTGAATACTGTTCGTTATCTCCATATATTTCATGTTCAAATATCTGGTAAAAATACCCTTGTTTATTAATACTTTTACTTGGTTTGCCTCTGATATTCTCAGGAGCAAAGAAGATTTTCAAAAAGAAATAATGCATTTTCACTACAGATTTAACACAGTCCAACCCTAACACCAGAACCCATGACCCGGGTCATGAATTTCACAAATTTGGAACAGGTCCCTCATCATAAAAACTATGCACTTAGTTAAAGATTTTCAAAGAAGTAACACATTTTTACTAGTATATTATAAATAACTAGAACACCTCACCCTGGGACCACAAGTTTTAAAAACTATGGAAGAAGCACCCTTGCTCTTAATAACTATGCACTTTGTTTATCTGATCAATACTAAGAGCAGACAAGATTATTTAACAGAATTAATGCATTTTCACTCTCTTTTCATTAGAGTCACACCCTTACACCAGAACAGCTGACCCAGTGCCATGAAACTCATAATCTGGATAAGGCACCCTTGCTCATCATAAATATTAACTTTGTATCTTACCTTTATAAACAGTAGCAGAAAATAATATTTTCAAAGAAATAATGCTTTTTCACTATATACGCAATAGAGTCACCCTTTCACCTGAGCACCCGACCCAGGGGCCATGAAATTCACAATTTTGGAAGAGGTACCCTTGCTGATTTTAACTATGCACTTGGTTTGTTTAAATAATATACCCAGGATTGGGAAAGGAGATTTTCAAACAATTAATGCATTTTCAATATATAATCAATGGAGCCCGACCCTAACACCAGAATCCCCAACGCAGGGCAATGAAATTCACGATTTTAAAACAGGCACACACTTATCATAACTATGAACTTAGTTTGTTTCTTGAATACCCAGAAGCAAAGAAGATTTTCAAACAATTAATGCATTTTCACTATATACCATAGTTAATAGAGTCCCGACTTAACAACAGTACTCCTCACCCAAGGGCCATGAAATTCACAACTTTGGAAGAGGCACCCTTGCTGATTATAACCATGTACCTAGTTAGTTAAATACCTATGAGCAGAGAAAAAGATTTTCAAACAATTAATGCATTTTCATTGTATAATCAATAAAGCTTCGCCCTAATACAAGAACCCCTTACCCAGGGGCAATTTTGGAAGAGACACCCTTGCTCATCATAACTATGTACCTGAGTAGTTTGTTTAATAAAAGGAGCAGAGAAGATTATCAAACAATTAATGTATTTTCACTATATAATCAATGGAGCCCCACCCTCATACCAGAACCCCTGACCAGTGGCCATGAATTTCACAATTTTGGAAGAGGCACCTTTTCTTATCATAAGTATGCTCCTAGTTTGTTTTTTTTTTTTTTAATACACATGAGCAGAGAAGAAGATTTTGGAAAGAAATAATGCATTTAAATATATGATCTATATAGCCCTAACTTTGCTCCAGAACCCCTGCCCCTGGAGCCATGAAATTTCAAATTTTTTTTTTGGCCTAGCATCAGAACCCCTGCCCCTTGGGCCATAAATGTCACATTTTTTTGTCATTAAAAAGTGAATGTTCATCGAAGCTTGGTACTTCCATTATGATACATACATTTAATTTTATATATATATATATATATATATATATATATATATATATATATATATATATATTTCACGTTTTTTAAACGATTTTCACGGGGATATTTATAGTGCCAACGCCTGCCGTGACACGGGACCTCGGTTTTAAAGGTCCCATCCGAAGGACCCGCACTTTTTACTTCAAAGTGCCGAGCGCATAGCGAAGGAACAGTTGCAACCCATTTTTTTTATCGACTTACGTCAGTCACGGTCGAGATTCGAACTCACGACCTCCCGATCACAGAGCGAGCGCTCTACCGATTGAGCTACCGTGAACGGTTATAATAGATATAATATCATCCCAAAGCTGATAATTGCGTGTAATTGTGTTAAACTCTTTATTAAACTTGAAAAATCTAACGGTTGAACACCGATTCCATGTAATATCTGTTCTATGCAAACATTTACACGTTATCTGTATCGTAAAATAAAATCCAGATTCTCCTCATAATTTTAAAATACAATGAACATGCAGACTTTTTTCCTCTAATTATTTAGTTTAATATTAGATATTCAATCAGGCTCCTATCTTACAATGGTACAGCTATTTGGAACTTTTCACTCGTTATTGTTACCGCGTCGTGATTGAGTGAAGATTTAGACTTTTTTCTACATTATAGATGACCTATATTAAAATAATAAATTGAACAGTATTTACTTATTCATGTATTGCCAACATTAAAGGCTTGAAGATTCCGTCTGAAGCATACGGAAAGAAAGAATGAAGTAAAAAAAAGTGATTTGTATGAGCATTATCCGCGAATTTACTAATTCTTAAAAAATGTGAATATTACTAAATCCATGAAAATTGATGCCCACGAATTATTGGTGAAATCACAGTAAATATGGAAACAACAGTTAAGCTATCTTGACGTTTCAAGGATAAATTTGTTACTCCCCAAACTGCGCCCTGAGTCAAAAAGAGGCCAAAAGGCCTTAACACTCACCCAGAGTATGATACATCACCGTAAAACATGGTAGAGGATCCACAGAACTATAGGACAAAAACAAAATAATCTGATAGATGAAGTATGTTGCCCAGAAGCAAGAGAAAAAGAATAATCAGGGATCAACAAAATAATTACTTTAATACTCAGTAACAATTTTTTTTTAAGTAGACCTATTTACTTGCCTACATTGCCTCCATTTGTCGCTATCGCCATGTAGACTAAACAAACTAAAATTGATTGGGTTCTCTTGTAAACCCAACTCATTCTTTGTTACACTGACCTCTCTTGGTCTTTGAAGAACATTTAATGTTCAAAGATAAGGTGTATTTTTAATCTCATTTTTATATATTACTTACGTCTAACTGACCATTAAAAACTATCAAAGTACTTTTCATATCTTGTAGTTTAAAAATTCTTGCATAATTCTCTTATTCAACTGACCTTTTACTTATATTATTTACAGTGATTTATTATCACAGGTGAAAAGCAAAGGGGAATAACTTCTGCAGTAGAATACAAATAAACACAGCCCTGACCAGCACCAGAACACTTGACAAAGTGGTCCAGAATTTCAAAAAACATGGTAAAAAAAGCCTTGCTTATAATTACAACTTTGTATCTTGTTCGCCTCCTAGACTCATGAACAGAAAATAAGATTGTCTAAGCATTAATGCACGTTTAGTATATAATCAAAAAAATCCCGCCCTAACACCACAACCACCGAACCAAGGGGTCATCAAATTCACAATTTTGTAAGAGGCACACTTGCTTATCATAAGTATCCCCTTTGCTTCTTTCCTTAACACCCACAAGAAAAGAAGAAGGTTTTCAAAGAAATAATGCATTTTCATTATATAATCAATAGAGCAACCCCCCCCCCCCCCCCCCCACACACACACACACCAGAACTCCTGCCCCTGGGGCCAAAAGTTTCACAATTTTGAAATAGGCATCCTTGTTCATCACAAACATGCAATCAGTTTGTCTGCAAATACCCAGGGGCCGAGAAGAAGATTAAAAAAAAATATCTGCATTTCCACTACATGATCATAAGAGCCTCACCCTACTCCTGAACCCCTGACCCTGGGCCATGAATTTCATGATTTGTAGAGGGCTCATTGCTTTTTACAATCATGCCAACAGTTTGACTGCTTGATTTCCAGTAGAAAAGAAGATTTTTAAAGACAGTACTGATTTTTATGGTTTTAGTCTCATCCCTCAGGCCACAGGGAAGCAGGGACCAGGAAATTCACAATTTTTGTAACCCTTAATACCATATACCATAATTGGCTGAAATTGGATCAGTGGTTCAAGAGAGGAAGCTGAAAGTGTTTAAAAGTCTACGAATGACGGACGATGCATGACAAAGGACAAAAACGGATAGCAATAGGTCATCTGAGTGACTCAGATGACCTAAAAATACATTTGTGAATATTTTTGTACACTTACATTTGTACGCCTCTGTAGAATGATATCTAGTAGGACATGATTTATGGGTGAAACTGGAACAATCTGTGTCATAATTCTCCTGGACAATGTTGCCAAGGTAGCTGTACTCTGTACAATGACCTGAAAAACAACATTAAGGGGTGTAACCATAATATAGAAGTGTACTCCAATTTAAGAAAAAAAATTCGCGACACCTTTTTTCATGAGATAATTAAGCGAGACAATTCAAATTTTCACTAATATTTGTAATGGTGTAGGTTATCTTTAAAAACACAAAACTGTACATAAGAGATTGAAATTTCAAGAGCATACCGTCTCGTGTATAATGCCAAGAAAAGTACAAATAAAAATTGATTCACAATGCTCAGGTAGGGTGTAATGAATAACCGGTATACCCCGTTAGGAAAAATAAATGATTTTGCAGCTAGTACACAAAACATATTCCTGCATATATCAGGATACATTACATTTTCAGAATTTTTTTCCCTGTTCACACGGGAACTTTAATTCAAAGTAAATGTAAGTTACAGTGAATTAAATTTGACGGAGAATTTAATGTAAATTAGTTTAATTCGTATTAATCAAATTTTGGCGCATGCGTAATAGTAAGATTGACACATGCAATATATGTCGGTGGTCAGATATAAGTACTTATCCTATTTTTGAGTGCAAAACAAAGAAAAATTAAGTTTATATCACTAAAAACGTGGAAAGATACTACTGTTTACCCAACCTCTGTTGATTTTTCGATGAAATCCTGGCTTACGATTGGTTGAAGTCTGTCAACTGGAGGGGATGTATTACTTATACCTAGTCGCTTGAAAATAAATACATGGTCGATACGGAGTTATCGTTCTTTTGTAATGTTACTCGAGTTCACGAGGTTTGCCGAGTGTCTCTTAACAATTTAACAGTTAACTAATGTAAGTAGTTCGAGATAAAACCTTTTTCTCCCTTTCTGAAAGTCTTCAAAATTTTCAGTACGTTATTAAAGCTCGAAACACTTGCAAATCATTATGTTACACAACGTTCCGTCATAATAGGCATTCTATGAGTGATGAAACATATACAGTGTGAAAAATAATTTTACAAACCACAGACAATGCATAAATACTTTATCAGTGGGGTACATTCGTTACATAATTTTGTAGTGACAGGGTAGGGGATGATACCTGGTTATTAAATTTCATACAGGTCTGGCGAGGCTACGTACAGTACATGATCTTTTAGTAATTATGAGTAGTACATGTTGTTCAATTATTTTAATCATCACACTTCATTTAATTCAAATCAGAAGGCAATAATGTGTATTCTCAAAACACATGGGTCATAGGTTTTGATTACCAGTGTGTTACTAACTTTACCACGTGTATTTGTTACATGCATTATAATTTGTATTAGTTTTAATTTTATCGAGATTTTGACTTTTAAAAACTCATTCAAAATTCGAACTTGCTGAAAATAGGGAAGGTTTTATATTTCGTCAACCTACATAAACACATTCATTACCGTCCAGTGGTTTTTCGCTGCGATGTGTTATCCCTTCGTAAAAAAAATCTTGGGAAAATAAGGGTTTACATGCACTCATCGTTATATCATATACATGTACAATGTACAATGTAGAAACGTTTATAGCAAAGACTCTTAATAACGGCACTTGTTTTTATTAATCGTCAATTAATAACGGCACTTGTTTTTATTAATCGTCAATTAATAAATAAATCCAACCATTTTATATAAACCTACCCAGTTTCTCGTGAGGTGAATACTATAACACTGATTAATGTCGGTCTAGTTATGCTACTGATTAAATGGATAAAGACAAGAGAGGTAACTTTTCTAATTTCTTATAAAACAATTCCGCAAACTGAACAAACCACGACCGTGTCAAAGGAGAGAAAAAGGTAAAAAATGCAACCCGTGAATTTAAACCCCTATACATCATCCGCAGATCTAGAGGGAGATCGGGGGGGGGGGGGGGTCCGGACCTCCCCCCCCCCTGGAAGTTATTAAAAGTATATAATGAAGCAAATAAAAAATGACCTTGAACCCCCCTCCCTAGAAAACGTGGACCCTATTCTCTTTAGAGAATCTTTGGGTACAACCATATTTGACCTTCTGACCTTGACCTTGGAGTTCGACCCACATTTGCAAAATTTTATGAGACTTTAACAGTTGGTGCTTGGGCTTTCAAACTTCACATGTGTATCCCTGTGACAAGACCTTCCTTCGGATACCAACAAATTTTACCCTTTTTCCTTGACCTTGGAGTTTGACCTACTTTTGAAAATCATTAACCTTGGCCATAACTTTTGAACAGTTGGTGCTAGGGCTTTCATACTACACATTTGTATTTCTTGTGACAAGACCTTTTTTTGGATACCAACAACTTTGACCATTTGACCTTGACCTAGCAGATTGACCTACTTTTTAAACTTTAACCTTGGCCATAACTTTTGAACAGTTGGTGCTAGGGCTTCCATTTTTAATATGTCTATTCCTTATCACAAGACCTTTCTTTGGATACAAACCACTTTGACCCTTCGACCTTGACCTAGGATTTTGACCTACTTTTGAAAAACTTTAACCCTGGCCATAACTTTTAAAATAGTTGGTGTTAGGGCTTTCATACTTCACATATTTAATCCTTTTGACAAGACCTTCCTTTGGATTCCAACAACTTTGACCCTTTGACCTTGACCTTGGATTTTGACCTACTTTCAAAAAACTTTAACTTTGGCCAGAACTTTTAAACAGTTGGTGCTAGGGCTTTTATACTTTACATGTGCAGTCCTTGTTACAAGAATTTCCTTTGGATTCCAACAATTTTAGCATTGACCTTGACCTTTTGACCTACTTTTAAAAAACTTTAACCTTGGCCATAACATGTGAACGTTTGGTTCTAGGACTTTCACATTTCACGAACATGTGAATCACTACTGACAAGACCTTCCCTTCGGGCCCCATTTGACCTTAAGCTTGACGTTTTACTTACTTTTTAAAAACTTTAACCTTCGACCTAATTTTTGAAACAGTTGGCGCTAGGGCTTTCAAATTTCACAGGTATATTCCTCGAGACAAGACCTTTCTTTGGCTACCAACATTTTTGATCTTTTTGAAGTGGATGGAAATATATCAGAAAATCTTAGACGACAATTTATGCCCAGTATTAGTCCGTCATTTTCCGACTGAAATTATATGCACCTGTACAGCGTGCACGTTCAAAGCAGGATTATTTGCACAGAAACGGCATTACAACGATGAGCTGGCCAGCTCAAAGTCAAGACGTGAAAGACGTGAAATCAAGCGCATCTGGAGAGTATCTCAAGAGCTTGATCAGGACCATTCCGAGACGGTTACTAAGTCTAATACGCTAAAAGGGTCGCCTTACAAAGTACTAGGTAAGTTATTTTTTTGTGCGAATGTAAACATTTTGTACGAATATATATTGCATCACGCTGTACCTGCAAAATTTAAAAAGTAGTTCATTGTTACTGACGTTTTTTAATATAATTTGTTTTAAGTCCCAAGATGCATCAACTTACAAGGTCTAATGATTCTAAACGTCCCAGTTATTACTCATTATCTGAAATAATGAACTAAAATGTTCTGAAATTGATAAGCAATAAAATTCAGAAAGTAGGTCATGGTTACCTATTTTTTACTTGACACAATTAAAGACCCAAGTTACATCAACTCACAAGTTTGATGATCGTAGGCTTCAAAATGTCCAAGATATGCATCAAAATCAATTTGAAAATAAATACCTGCAAAACTAAAAAAAAAAGTGACCGTGACCTACTTTTTTGTCAACATGACTTGAGGTCCTAAGATGCATCAACTTACAAGATTTGATGATCCTAGTCCTTATACTGGGCAAAATATTAAAGTTTTAACAAAGCATAATTTTAGGTCATCTTTGAAGTGACCTTAGGACCACACCCTTTGCCCAAGGGTGATGCCTTGAACAATGTTTATTTAATCTACAATATATCTTTATCTCTATACATATTTTTGGTGATTATCTGCCCAGTGATTCCTGAGAAGAAGATTTTTTAGCAACCACTCTTTAAAATTTTATTTTCCTTATTATCTCCCCTTGTTTAAGGGTCACATCCCTATCTTCAACAAAAATGAAAGGCCTTGGGCCATGCATACTCTTTGAAAAATTTGCCAAAAATTGTTCAAAGGGTTCTTGAAATATGAACCATATTCAAATAGTTTACAAATACACAACATAAATGGCCAAAGCATAAGCTATTTGAGCCTTTGGCTGAAAATGTGTATTCCAATTATGTCATACATTATAAATTCTCAATTTAAAACTGGTGGTTTGAACCTGTATGTACATGGCATATGCATCAATTACATGTATGTTTGAAGCTCAAATACTGATACTCTCTTAAGTTCCTATTCTTACTGTGTGTATTGAATATATATATATATATATATATATATATATATATATATATATATATATATATATATATATATATATATATATATATATATATATATATATATATATACATATTCCCTATATACATTCCCTAGTCAATCTTTAAAAGAGCATAGACAGTAATGCCTCTTAATATTTCTATGGGGAATAAATTCCAGGACAAGTTCACATTATCAATCGTTCAATATGAATAGACATGCACTATTCTAGCACTTATTTTATACATTCTTTCGCCCATATAAGACATTCAATTTTACTAGAAATTGATTACCTTTATATACACATACATGATCTAAAGATAGAGCATTCATGTGCAAGACAATCTGAGCTTTATCTACTTAATCAATATACACTTGAAAAAGTTCTTTTTAAAGTGTTTTCTTTTTCTATTTTAAAAGTTTCCCACATCAGTTTTTAAAAATACAAGTACTCGTGGTCTGTGGTCTACATTACTCATCATTTCAATTTAAATGCTTGATGTATTTAACAAAACGTTCACCATATTAAGTTTTCACCTCTGGTAAGAAATGTTTTTAATGTAAAATGCTCAATAAGAAGCTATATATACTAAATCTTTAAACTTACACTTTTGCACTATAACAATTAACCTATAGATTTGCTGCTTTTTATAGCACAGAGGATAAGATGCCCATGAAGGTGCCTTGATTTTGAATTGGGAAATATCCATTTTCATGACTATTGATATGCCTTTTTTTATTTTGCAACTTGACGAGAACATTCTTTTTACATAATCCACATACCCAAAACAATGTACTTCCCATATGCGCACACTTCTAGTGTTTGATTCACAAATGGATTAATGACACAGTGGTAGACAAACACCTTGTCAGGTTCACTACACTGGCTGGCTAAAGCTGAACAGTTTTTTCTTTCAGATGCTTCCATCCATTCTGCCTCACGGGTTGGACAGTTTGAAACAATATTCATAGTTTGTCTTGAAACAAGACATGCATCAGTGTTACATTTCACTTCCTATTAATGAAAAAAAATTTTTTTTTGAATTTCTTACATAAATAAGGACTTCATCTAAAATGACATAAGAATAACCCAAACTTTTTAATGCTTTATATATATGGATTACACCTTCAAGAACACTGTGCATGTACACAAAGAATGCATAAATACATGTAAAATTTTGTTTAGTAGATTTTTTTCAAAGCATCTTGATTAGTTCATGTCTAAAATGATATAAGTATAACACTTAATTGAACTCTGTGCCCAAGCTTTTCCAAAATGACATTGTATTTAAGTTTCCACAAGGCTTATACAGTAAAACAAGCTTATAGCGAACACGTTTGTGAAAGAATTGACAGCGTGGTGATTTTTTCATCCCCGTGATTTAATAACAAGTATATTGTACACTTATCAGATATACGCTAATACAGCAAAGCAAAATTGTCCATCCCTGGCACTTCCTTGTATTGATTTACTGCACGTAAATGTGCAGTATTTATTTTTGAATTCTTCAAAGTGCTGGGGGTGGGGAAGGAGAGGGAGAGAGGGGTATATACACTCTGAAGATACTTTTGACTGTCTAGTTGCCTTTATTTATTTATCACTTTTTTAAGGTAAATTTAAAGAAAACATACCCTGGAAATCTCTCACCTTTCTTCTGTTAATTTTGATGAAAATGAAATGAATAGACAGAAATCTAGCTTGCATACATTATATCGAGAATAAAATTTCAGTTTCAAATTTCAAAACAGAATGAAAGCTAGGGTTAAAAAAATCATGGCACAACACCAATGTTTAATAAGATATACTGCTGACATTTTTTTTTAATTTAGTATGTTTCAGTACACTCCTTGAATTAGATATACAGATACAGATATAGAGCTGTAATTTAAACCCCTCTTGATACCAAGTGTTTATCATGTATACATTTGCATAAGTGTCATCCACTTCAGAACTTGGCAAAATTTCAATTTCTGAAACTCTTAATAGGCTTTAAAGATCTCAATGTCCTTTAGAACATATGCATTTACAATTAATCTATACAAACACTGTAGGTATCATGAGTATCCCTTTCAGTCGATCAGGTAGAAATTCAATAGGAAGAATTTTTAATGGCAACATAGAACATTGAAACATACTCTAGATAATTTTACGAGGCCATCTTGAAAAAAAGGGAAAAAACTGTACTCCAAAGAAGTCTTCAATATTCATGCAGTTATGAATCCCCCCTTTTTATCAAAATGACATTGATGCAATCATATTCCTTTCATATAAAATGACTTTACTTCCAGAAAAACTTCAACATTGCTTATTAAAGTACATATACATAATTATATAGTTATCCATTATTATGGTCTACTCAAAAGGGTATTATGGTTATTTTAGACACCAAATTATGCTACTAGGAGACTAGATATTATTTTCTGATCAGTTCAATGGCTAGATAACAAATGTCAATCACCAAGAACAAAGACTTTTAAAAAGATTTAAATGCTTATATACAAAAACTATAATTTAATCTCTAAAATGAATTTGAACAAAACAAACAATTTAACATGACTTTAAATGTCAAGCGAAATAGCAAATCAAATTCATATCACTGAATTTTGAGGAGGTGTAAGTATAAAGTGCAATGTACTTATCATGTCAAGTATATGTATGGAAACTCTGCAGTACCAGAATTTTTGAGTTAGTATTAAATTATATAGATTGGATGCTTAAGTGTGTAATTGAATGCCAAACCCTAATGCACCCATTGCCAGCAGATAATGTTACAGTGTACATTACAATTTATAAAAGAAATGCTGGTACATGAACATAAAATGCAGATGCAAATTTTCATTCAAATGTAATGTCTGGCATTTGACATGAAAAAAAAAGGAAGAATACATGATTAAACATACCTTCAGTATTAGAATGATCATCAAAGCTTTTAATGACACTGCAATTAAAAACTCCAATTAAATTTATTTAATATAAAATGTTTGATTACTTTTGAATTTAGGCCACTATTTAAAATATCTCTGTTTGATGACCCACAATGCTCAAGTTTGGAGGGGGTCTTTGCTTAATTTTAAAATCTTAAATTTGATAAACAAAATAGAAAAACTTTCATTTACCATAGAGAAGAAAAGTTACTAACATTTTTATTAAGTGTTTTCTTGTGTTTTCTTGATATCTTTTTTTATAAAAAGGTTTGTGCAAATCAGAATGACATCTTTTCTTTTTTTTACTTGTAATGATAGAAAAACTAAATCTTCATAACACGAGTAAAATTTGTTTTCTTTAGTCCCCCCCCCCCCCCCCGGAAAATTCTAAATTAATATCAAAGAATTCATAGGCAAGACAGACAATCCAGTTTTTAAGGCTGTCCGTTAAAACTAAAGGGAAGATGCATATTCATCATTTTTTCCCCATTAAAATACCTATATACCCCGAAAAGTACGCTAACAGCTTATAAACTGGTAAAGAGAAAGTAGGGTGCATAACATTAATCAGTCATGAAATAGGTAAATATTCCTCTCCTCTGAACTCGAAATTAAAACCTGTTATTACATTTGACTTTTAATGAAATTTGCCCTTTCATTTTCCTCTTTTCCGAGTTTTGTGAACGGTGATGGACGTCCGTGGCTTCAGTCTCTACCATCGGCTCATACAGTCTGAGAGAGAAACGAACGACAACTCTGCATAGGAGATTGCTGTGGCTTAACATTAACTTTTTCATTGGTCAAAATTGAGGTGACCTTGACCGAATGGATAAAAATAGGAAAAAATATCTTATAAATTTCTGAATATTCATCTAGATTATTAACTATAAAAATTTCTACAGGATTTTTTTTTATTGACATCTCTAATGAAAGATCAACATCGTTTTTTATTCTTCTGTTTAATGCAGAGTTCCCGCTACGGAAGACAACCACTCCCCCCCCCCCCCCCCCGGTTTCTTAAATTACTAAGTACAGAAACAAAAAAAAAATACCTTGGACCCCCCTCCCAAGAAACAGGGACATCTCTTTAGGAGAGCCATATGAATCTGACTGAAGAAAATTGACTAAGGAGTGACGCGCGTCTCTACGTACCGGCATTCCTACGTGTGCCAGGATAGGGTTAGTGTCTATATATATATATATATATATATATATATATATATATATATATATATATATATATATATATATATATATATATAATGTATTTGTAAAAGGTTCTTTGATATACAGCTGAATCCTCATCCACTGTGGAATATAAGATTTCAGATAAGCAATTGATTAGTTAATTATCTACTCAAATATATCACTTTTACCTCATCGTGCAATAGTTGTGATACTCCTAATTAGTATGAAGTGCAACGGGTCTGCATTAAACTGGACATTATATAACATGATGAAGTTAAAGGAGGAAATCTCTTCGCGATTGACTGCGCTTCCGCGGAGCTTTTACGGCGTGTCAGGAGTTGTCACCTCGCGTTCACGGTTCTCACTGTGCTTGCTGCGTTCACAATACGTCCACAATACGTTCACTATGGACACCCCTACCAATGTGTTTGGATGATATTCTTTATCGTTGTTAAGTGTAGCATAACATCCGAGGGCGCGATTTGACCTCTAACGAGACCAGCCTTGAGACTGTACGAGATCTGCACCAGTTCCTGTAAGATTTAGACAGGAACTGGATGTGTGGTTTTGGATTTATGCGTTTAACGTAAGTATAGCTCATTTTATTTATCTTTAATCACTTTAACATTCTTTTGCACATAAAAATTGATTTATTAAGTCTTTATTTCTCGCATTCTATCGCCTCAAACACTTGAAGTGAGAAACGTTAAATCAGATACAATTAGAGTTATCGTCCTTTGTTTACATGCCTCCACGTGGTGGAAGAAGAAAAATCTTTTTGAGCTATAAAAATATATAAGGCTTTTCAATGTTTTTAAAATATTATACTAAAATAATTGATAATGTTCTTGGTGTTCTGAAATATTTTACCACAGTATTGAAAAAGGGAAAACTGATTCAATGTGCAGAAAATGTTATAGTCTGTTTTAAATTTTTGCAACAGCTGATACACACAGTTATACTGGTAAATGCAATTTCTCAGTTGATTGCATGTAATATGAATAACAGTGTAAAAAAAATGCTTAAATGAATACAAAATGAGTGTTACATTAAAAATTGCAAGAAGTGGCCAATGTTAACATCTCTGTCAAGTGATCTGCTGGTGAACACACAAATAAACACTGGTCTCTCTCTCTCTCAGAAATTAAATAAATGAATGAAAAATTATATAGTAATATTTTAGTTGCTTAGCGAAAGCTTACTCCAGACTATGCCCACTTGTCCACATGATATTCAGCAGAGAGACATCATAATGCAGTGAACATTATACATTTATTGACTCATGATTGTGTTCTCAGGCAAAATGCATTTTGTCGACCCTCGAACCAAACTGTTTGTCTGAGGCCATTAGGCTGAAGGCAGACAGTTTGGTTTGATGGTCGACGAAATGCATTCTGCCTGAGAACACAGTCAATAATTATAATGTTTTTTTTTATACCCTTTATTTCATTAACATACATGTAACTTATTCTGGCTTCTATGATGTAATTTTCCTTTACCCGCACTGCAGTTTAACTTGGTCTATTTCGTCTCTGTCAAACACCAACGAATGCAAATAAGAGTTATCTTACATATCAGTCGAATATCTAATCGATAGGTCCAATATCTCACTGCAGTCAAACATCGATTTTCGACAGACTGCTCAGCAAAACATTGAAAATGTTAGACTTTTTTAGGATGAATTTATATAGTATATAATTTCTAAAGGTATATAACAAAAATGTGATAAAGCCTGGTAAACTCAAAACTAGATCATAATGACTCTCATATTTTAAAGAATTAAAGATTCATATTCTATTTAATTCATGTATTATTGTTATCAAATTTATTTCTAAACCTGAAACATTTTGCAGACATTGTGCTTTCAATATATAATGATTTTCTAGTTTCTTTGTTGAGGGGTAAGGTTTAATATTCTGGAAATTCCATATCCCATCTATATCTAATACCATATTAATTAATTAGCTATGCACCAAAATATTTTGAATATTTACAATAAATTAGATATTTGCATGTACGGTAATCAGCAGCAGACATTAAATGTGAACAAAGTATTATGAAGAGAATATGATTACTTGAATGTAAAAGATGTTTCTCACAGCTGTTACATGTACAATTTGCATTACATGTATTACTTATCATTATCTGAGTTTTCATTAAAATAATTGACTTTTACAGGCACAAATGCAGGATTTTCCATTAGTAAGAGAGGCACTTTTAGCAAGGGAGGGGTCTTGGGACAACTTATATCCCCAGAGGGTCAAGGACAGTGTTAGGTGGGGGTAAAGCCCCTGAAGCTCACGAGAATAAGCAATTAGAGAACCTTATTTTGACACATAAATGACTCTAATTTTACCTTTATTAGATCATTTGATATGAAAGTGAAAACTATATGTGTAAAACATATCTGAAACACTTTTTTTTTGTTTTAGAGGGGGCTAGTGCCCCCACCTGAATCTGTGTGCTTGTATGCATTTTAAGATTTTAGTGATAAATGCACTTGAACTTCGGTATCTGGAACACTGATATGTAGAACACCATGGATATGTCAAAGTAATTTGGAAGTCCCAACTACTTATTCTTTAAGTTTTTTCTCGGTCTTATCAAGTTCATTATAACGAGGTTTGACTGTATACCCGTACGAAATTTTAGTCACGTATTTTCAAAAAATATCCAGGCGTATTATATCTTAAAATCCTGGTGGATTCTCCATTAAAATGAATACATAAAAGCAGACGTATAAAGTGAAATACAGGCGTACAAGAGGCGTATTCCTACCGTATTTTTAGCCGAAATATGCAAATGAGTACGCCTGGAAATTTTAACAATAGAATTACACCCAGATATCAAGCATATCTGTAAAAAAAAAATACGCCCGTAAAATAAATACACCCGTAAAATGAATACGCCCGTATAAAAAATACGCCTGCCTTAAATATTCATTTCAAATTAAATATTATCAGAGCTATGGGGACTACAACCAACATAAATATAAAAGTACAAAGTACTTTAGTACATAGATTACTAGGAGTCTAAGATCATATAAATACATACAAAAAAGATCAGACAAATTAAGCTTACAATCATACACAATTTTTATTTTATTAATACTTTTCAGAATGCTTAAATGTGAATGAGAAATGATTAAAAATCAGAATCGAACATTTACGGTTTCAAATCACAGTCACATCACATGTTAGATTTACATTAACTTTTCCTGTTTCACAGTATTTTAACCTACAAGATTGACAATTATTAGTTTAGTCAGCAGTAATGCAACATTCCAATAATCACAGTGAAATCATTTTATTGAGAATCATGCCGATTAATCCTGCCATTCTCTGTACTCCTTATTTGGCACAAAAGATGCAATTCACAAGCAGTTTTGCCATTCACATTTCCTATTATATTCTCCAATCGCATTTTCATAGAAATATTCACAAAAAGATGTTTTTCATGTTTTATAACTCCTGGCATTGAAAATACAATTCATTCCTGATGCTACACTCAACAGCTGCAGTTCAATGGCATGCATCTATGGAAAATGCTGCAATTCTGGTCATTTGACTCTCACAAGCTCTTTTCTTCACTTAAATTCAAGTATTTATGGACTATTTCATCATTCAATTGATCGCCCAACTGATTTATCCTATGGATTATGATCTGGAAAAAGAAAAACATAAGAACATACTCAATGTCATACTGACCCATTTCAATCATGAACATCTGGCTCTGCAAATCAAGCAAATGCATCTGTCTTATTTTTTTTAAGTAAAAAAATCTAATGTTATGCAATGTATTTCAAAATAATCACCTCTTCTTCACCATCTGTACTTCGTTGCCGCTTTCTCCAATCTCTTTGTTCCTGGCATGGCCTTCTTGGTGGTTTAAAATTGGCGCAAATACTTGAATGTAAATAATGCTGTTGTTTATAACCCCCTTGTTACCTAAACGGTTTTATCATTTCTGAGAGATCTAATCAGTACATTATGTAAATTTGATAAAAAAAATTCTGTATTGTTAAAGAATACAAGAACAAAAATTCATTTATGTTTACACAAGATGTTTATACTTTTATTTTAAAGATTAGGGTGGATAATAGAACTGCTCTAGAGAAACCGGATATAAACTGATAAGCCGTTCTTAGAAAGGTCTACAACATTACAGATAAGTCGTTCCTAAACATGCTCAACACATCTGTAAGTAATTAGCCTAATCCCAACTGGTTAGACTAGGGAAGAGAAAGTAGATGGTAATGTAATATTATCTGAATATACCATCTATATTTTGTTTTATTATAGAGACATTGATCATGCAATTACTGATTGAAAAATTATTTTTAGCATCAGCTATAGTGCTTTGTTAAAACTAATGACTTAAATATTCATTTAATTAAATGCTATTTTATATTAAGCCACTAAAACATTAATGAAAGAATATACTAAGTTTGTTAGAAATAAAATCATCTTAGTTAAGAGAAATAAT